TTTTATTTAGCCAAAGCACATTTAAAAGGTCCCCAGAACAGCAAGAGAGGGAGAATTTAATCAGTTGCTATGACAATACATTCAAAATGCACATCTAATTTCTAATTTCAACTTGTCTCTCATTACACTTCTGGCCATTTGTTCTGCTTGTGTTAAATCAATTCTCTAAAAATACCTTGAATTAAGACTATTACCAGCCAGAATCCTACATCCTCCAATGAAAATTCTCCCTCTTTTTCATAGGCAAGACAGTCTCAACTACTGACTTCCAAATGGAAGACCTTTCCCAACACAGCCTTGCATTTGATCATTAATACAGTAAATATGCAGACAGCTCTCCAAAGGATTTTAAGCATTAAGGCTAGGCACTGTGCCAATATATATAAATATTTATACTTTCCCTGCACTTAAGTACAAGCTGCCTTTTACTCCGTAATCCTCTTCATATGACCTGCTCTCCATCCAGCGCTCCAACAGTCCTGACAGGCAGATAAATATGACCTGATCAGCAAATAAGGAACAGGAAGTATGTTAGTTCTGTATATGGGACCACTACAATCCCTTTTGAAATTCTGTATATTGTTCCACATAGGACACTTACAATATTTTTGTTTTGGCTCTGTTATCATTATCTACATGAATGGAATCATTCAGTTCCTGGAATATCCACACAGCCAAGAAGGCTTGCTTTTTCTTTAGTAAAAGCTGATGACAAACACAATCAGCTAAAACCTTCAGCACAGACTATGGGATTATTAGCAGCCTCCAATGTATAGTGTTGTCAGAGAAACAATTAATTTGTCCTCTCAAAACCTGGTTGAGTGGAAGAACAATCTTCTTCTTGCACAAGCAAATACAAAGGGGTTTTTTGTTCATTTATTTGTTTTTGAGATTCTTTCCCTTCTTCCTGTGTAGTAGCAAAGAACACTGCCTCTTACCAGCCTATCTTAGCTTTCATCTTGTGATTAATCACAGTTCAATATTAAATTATTCAGGCTGCCATTCAGTGTGACAAGCTGCAGTGTAACAAGCTGCAGTGTGACCTCAACACAGGTCATCAACAGATTACAGTTCAAAAGGGCAGTGCAAAGCTCCTTTACAGAAGGACAGAATGGTGGGGGTTGGACAATACCTCTGGAGATCACCTAGTCCAATCTCTGCTGCTCAAAAAGCGGCATTAGGCAGAAAAGGTTGCTCACGACTTTGCCTGAGCAAAAGTGTTTTAAGCATCTCCGGAGATGGAGACTCCACCATTTCTCTGGACCAGTCCAGACGAGGACTTCTAAAGTTACTGTTTTCAGTGGGAAGGCAGGGACAGAAACAAGCGATCCCAAAACTTCAAACCCATCCCCACAGCGGTCCGGAGCAGCTCGAGCCCAGGCTCCTGCCTTCCCAGGGCCGGGCTCTTCTCTCTGCGGGGCACCCGCCAGCCGAGCACTGCCCTGCCCGGCGGCCCCGAGCGCTTCAGGCCCGGCCCGGGCAGCGCCTCGCTCTGCGCAGGCGCCGCTTCCAGCCCGCCCCGAGCGCCGGGCCCTGCCTCGCAGTCGCCGCCTGGCGGTCACGGCCGGGAGCGGCACTGCAGCCGCGCGCCCCACCCCCCCCCCTTGGCGAGACGCGCGGCGCCTTTCGCGAGTACGGGCCTTTCTTCCCTAAAACCTGCCCTTCCCTAGGGAAAGCTGAGCAATTCACAGAGTCGCTGTTTCCACCCCAGCTTCCCAAAAGATTTCTCTCTCCCGGCAGCACAGACAGGGTCCCCGAGGCAGCGCAGACCCTCCCCGCGGGGGGGCCGGGGGGGGGTGTGCAATGCCAGGGCACATCAGAATCCGGCCCTGTGGCGGCACGCAGGTGCAAGTTTCTCCGCAGAGGCGAGAAACTTGCCTGTCGCTTCCCCTCCCTGCAGTCCCGATGGCCGCGGGAGAGGTAGAAGAGCGGCCGCGCCCCCGCCGCGCCCCCGCCGCTTACCCCGGGGACGATCTCCGTCGGATCTGCCGCCGTGGGTCGCTTCCGGGGGGAAAAAGCGGCGGCGCAGCCCCGACAGCATCTCCAGGGCACGGCCGGACGGAGCGGGAGCGGGAGCGGGGCGGGGCGGAACGGGGCGAGCGAGCGGCGCGGCGTACGCGCCTGGGGTTCTCGCGCTCCGCCGCGCGCCGCGGCGCCGAGAGGGGCCTTCCCCACGCCGGTGCCTGCCGCCACCCACGAACCTGCCGCCCGCGCCCGGCGCCGCCGAGCGCCCCGCCCTGTCCGCACAGCGGGAAGCGGCGCGGCGAGACGGCGCTGCGGGCGCGGGTCCGGGTCGCGGCGGAGGTCAGGCAACAGGATAGACGCCTCTCTGAGGCGAGGGGGCCTCTCGCCGCCATCTTGAGTGTGGTCTCGGCTAAGCTGCCGTCCTGGTGGCGCCATCTTGAGTGTGGCCTTGGCGGACTTTCGGGTAGGGGCCGCCATCTTTAGTGTGGTCTCGGCTAAGTTACGGTTCTGGTGGCGCCATCTTTGCTGTGGGCTTGGCGGACTTTCGGTCCGGGGCCTTGGAGGACTTTCGGTCGCTCTCTACTTCCGGTGACCGAGTTTACTCAAATTAGCGTCCCTCGCCAATTTCTGCGCTTTCACCCCTAAAAATTTTCCCCACACACCCCGGGAGAGACGGGAGACCGCAAGTCCCGCCGTGCCGCCGGAACCGGCCCTTAACTTGAGCAGGGAGCGCTGCACCGGCACGAGAGCCACCGCGCATGCGTCCCCGTTCCTGGCCACCCTTAGTTACCACGTGATCGCCGGCGTCTTGCCAACGACTGCGCATGCGCCAGCGTCGCCACCTTGGCTTCCCCACCCCGCCGCCCGACCGCCCGGCTTCCCTTTCTTACTGCGGCTCCCCCTCCACTTTTTCGGCTCCCTGGGGTTTCCCCCCGCCACATTTTGGGGTCCCCTTCTCACATTTTAGGGGTGACCCCGCAATTTACGGTTCGGAGGAGGGGAGAGGAAACGGGGTGCCCAAGAAGGGGTTTCTTTTTCTTTTTTTTTTTCCTCTTTTATTTCATTTTCATTTTATTTCCTTTTTAGTTTTTTTGCTTTTAATTTTTTTTATTTTTCTTTTGTATTTTATGTTTCCTTTTTTATTTCGTTTATTTTTTATTCTCCTCTCCCTGTGCTCCCCAGTAAACACCCAGTGCTCCCCAACAACCCCCAGTAACACCCTGTGCTCCCCAAAAACTGACCCAAACCCCACTCAAATCGCCCCAAAAACTGACCCAAATCATCCCAAAAACTGACCCAAAACTGAACCCAAATCACCCCAAAAATGACCCAAAACTGAACCCAAATCACCCCAAAAATGACCCAAAACTCTGCATTTATTTGGCCTCATTTCCTCTCAAAAACAACATCTCCAATTTAGTTGATTGCTAAAGCCATCATTTTAAAATCATCCCAGGAATCAAGAGGGACTGGAAAACACACAGAAATCATTCCTACACCCATCAAATCATTATTAATTAGAACCCGATTCCCTCATCTCTCTCCTTATTTTTCTTGGCTGGAAAACCTGATGATCCCCCCTGGCTATTTTTAGGCTGGTTTTCTTCCACAGCTCCTTTCTCCCGGCTGAAACCTCCTGGCATATTCAGGGCTTATCTGGAGGGAAGCCCCTCTGAGGTATTTCCTCTTGTGGCAATTCTTCTGCTGCAATTCTCCTGCCCCAGGAAGGGTTAAAAGACAGACTGCCCCATGAGCCATGCCCTGAAACAGCAATCAGTTCCGAGGCCAGAAAATCTCAGGGCCACACTTAGAAACCTTGCCACGAGGCCCCCGGAGAAGCCAAGGGGAGCTGGGATTCCCTGGAGTCCCAGGAAACCGAGGGGAAGGTTGGAAAGGGGCAGAGAGCAAACCCCCCTCCCCACTGCTTCTCCCTGCAGCCCCCAGTGCAGGTGCAGCGAACACACGCCGGTGTAGAGTTTTTAGGAGAGCTTTAAAATAAACTAAAAAACAATCAGTTCAACGAAAAATGCTTCTGCAGTCTGTACTGTATAACAACTCAAATTGCTCACTAAGAGAATTACCTAATTTAGAACAACTGAATCGTAGAACCTCAGTGCTTATCAAATGTATTCACTGGCACAGAAAAAAATAATTGCAAGTAGTGAGACCCACATTGCAAATAAGTCTTTGCTTTAAAATAAAATAGAAAAAAAACCCAAAACACCAAAACAGAGCTGTGAAGTGAACCAAAACACATCCATATAAGAACTATTAATTGTAAGCTCTTACATGCAGGACCTTTCGCTTGTGAACAGTTCCCATCTCCCACGCTGGGCAGAGTTTGTGATTTTAGTAGACCCTCAGCTGCCCGGCGAGGCTCGTGTCCCACCTGAGAATGCTGCTTTCACCCCAAGTTCAGGTCTGGAAGCAATACGTGGCATAGTAGAGGACTGGATAGAAGGACCTACTGCTGCCACTCGACTGGAGCAGAAGCTACCAGCTGTGGGGAATTCCCATCTGAAGAAACCTTTGGGGAAAAAAAAAAAAAAGACGAAAATGTCAAGAATTTTATGTCGCAGTATCTGTCCATCAGAGTTTGAAACAGAAGTCACAAAAGAGAAAAAAAAGTAGCAAATGATACCCCAGTGTTAAAGAGGCTTTTCTGAAAAACCTTTAAGAATTATAAACCTGAGGTAGAAATAGCAAAAAAAAAAAAAAAAAAAACCAAACCAAAAAAAAAATCCCTTATTAAAAAAACCACAACAGTAGAAAAAGATTTCTTGTCTGTAAAGAGTAAGCAGGTTAACACTAACGTCCCATGAAAAGGACTTTAATACACTACAAGCCTTCCACTACACATGGATCAAGACAAAAGGTCCAGCATCTGAACAGCCCGCCTTCCCCACAAACAAGTTTTTACTTCGGAATGTCCAGGCAACAAAATTCATGCTGTTGTTAGGACATCTCCCGTACTTACTGGTACATTCTCTTCCTGTGGCAGAGCTGCCTTTCTCTTCCCCAGGCGCTCTGGGCAGCTCACTAACATGCCTCTCCAGCACTACCACCTCCAAGCTGCGCTCCTTCGAACACTCCCTCTGTTGCTGCAGCCTGGCATTCTGCTCCCGCTTCAGTTTGTTCCTCAGCTGAAGAAATTCACGTATTTGTTCCTCAGCTGAAGAAATTACGTATCTGGAGCAATTTAAGTGCTTATTTTACCTCTTCAGAAGTCTGGCCAAAGTCCCATGGGCAAAAGAATAGCAATTTTTCACAGCAATTTTTCACCAACAGAAACTTGAACAGATTTAATACATTACTCTTCAGACAACAGCTAAACAAATTAACCATTATGAACCACTAGAGCTGCCCAGAGACACCCCGACCACCCCCAGGCCCTGAGAGCAAGAGCCCTCGGACTTCACCACAGCTTCTCCGCGGTTACCTGGCACTTGCTCCCAGCACGTTCCACAGAACAAGTTAAACTGCCCTGGACAGCAGTGTGTTGCTTTAATAATACCGCTGGCATATGTACTTCCCCCCTCAAAAAAGAGGGCTCTGCTAGACAACCCTCCCAAAAGGTTGAAATCCCTTCCCCCCAGCTCCTGTCCCGGAGGCCAGCAGCTGCCCCGTGGCACAAGGGCAGTGTACTCTGGGATGGGGCCTCGCTTCCCACTCAGGCTCTCCTCCGTTCCTGCACCCTAGCAACGCCAGGAGATTTCTCCTCCCTTCCGCGGGGCGCTGCTGCAGGAACATCCCCCCGAAAGGCTGCAGGACAGGCTGTACCAGGTTGAGAATCTGGGCTCCCAGACCCACGCAACAGCTCCGGCCCTCGTGCCACTGCTGCTCCTCCCGCTCGCTCAGCCAGTGGAGCTGAAAGAGTAACTCACTTTATAGTAAAAACGTGGGCCTCTGTTTACATACGTCTAGCCAACGGTAAAGCCACCGCGCATGCGCGATTTTTTGCCGCCATGTTGCCAGAGCTTACCACATGATTGGTTGCTTTATCGCAAACAACTGCGCATGCCCGGGTTGCGGAGGGGTTATTGTCCGAGCGACGTCTTATTTGAGGTTTTTTTTAATATGCGGTGTCGCTCTCAGTCCGCAGGTGGCACCGGCGTGTCGTTAAACATGCACAGTACCTCACGTTCACCACCAGGTGGCAGCCGCGCTTTCAGTTCCAGCCGAGATCCCAGACTCGGTGTGTGACAAGTGAGAGTGGGCAGAAAAAACACTCCAAATACACAGAGCTGTTTCTATTTCCTTCATATCGATCACCTTTTGTCACATTTTCAAACCCTTTATTTTCAAGAAAAGTTATTTATAAGAAAAGTTATATTTGCATTTTGAAACCCTATGAAATATATATGCAAAATTTTTATACTGTCTTGTATGTATATTTTATTTTGAAGTCTTTTTTATAGAAAATTATTTTTCAATATATAGAGACACAAGAAACATTACAGTTTCTAATATTTTTTGCACACACATCTCCATGAATCTTCAAGCATTTTTGGGCCATAACCTCCCTTTTTTGGGAGAATCCCACATGAACCCCTCATCCCCTACTCACCTCACTCGTTTGGGGCATCATCTCCCACTCAGGCTTCCGCTCCACCATGTTCATCCTCCATCCCCAGTCCCCGCTGACCCTGGGCTCTCCCCTCAGCCAGCCCTCACTGCTGCACCCACGGGACACCCACTTGGAGAGAGAGCCATAAGCCCTCAGACACAGGGGCTGCCTCTCATCCCTGCATGCTGAATGCCTCCAGGAATTGCCCTCCAGCTGCTCCTGCCCAGGAAAGGGCAGCAAGGAGAGCTCGGCCAGCAGGAAAATGGAGGAAAGAGGCTACCAAAACCAAACAAAAGCAAACAAACAAAAAACCCTTTCCCCCCAAAACAAAGCAAGAACTTTATCCCATTTTAAACCTCTTTGTCAGATTTCAGTGGAAATACACTTCTGACCTATCTCTGTTTCAGATGATCTGGCAAGTAATTTTTGTTACAGGGTTGGACCACAGATGCACCAACACTAGAATATGTTTAAATACAGTCTAAACACCATCAAATTGAAATAAATATTTCTTTCCCAGAGGACTGCAGAAGAGTTATACTCAGTGATACAGCCGTTCCAAACACTAGGAGTGTCTTTCACGAGAAAAAAAAAGATCTAGGCTGAAACAACTGGTTCAGTGTTACTAATCTGAACAAGTAACGTAAGTGACCTATGAATAACTTTAAATTTGCAATTGAGAAATATGTCCCTTAAAAACAAAAGTTGAGAAATAAACTGGGGGAAGAGCTGAAGCAAATGATGAATTTAAAGATCAGATTTTTTAAGAGTCTCTGCATTTTTATTGGATATAGCAGAACAGCCAGCACCACCACCATGGTGAAAAAAAACAAACAAAACCCCCGCAAAGTAATAAAAGAAACAGGAACTTCAGTACAGTTGGAAAAAATTAACTTTTTTAAAGGCTAACCTATTTGAGATAGTCTTCCTTCGACAAGTCTGCAGATAGAGCCTAATGTTTATTGCATCAGACACAGATATATAGAACATTGCTCTAAACTGGAAAACAAAAGTTATTTTTACATTTCAAATGCTTTGCAAGCAACATTAAAAGTTAACATGTCTCAAGAAATTTTTTAAGTTTCCTTCCCTTCCCCAAGAAGCTTCTTTTTATCTGTAAGCACTAGTAAATACATTCCATGATACCTCCACTTAAGCGGCCACTTGTAAATTATTACAGTGTGATAAACAGAAGCAAATCAAGAAAAATGAGACACTGAAACTGTTCTATGTGGTTGTAGTACATAATCAGGACTAGTTCGGTAACTATTTATGACACCTACTGATTCCCCCAGTCGCAGTAGTTCTATCTTGGCAAGTGGCCGCTGCCATCTCTACCAATGCCAGCTCACAAACAAATGAGTAACCTGAACCTCAAGCATGTTTTATTTTGGTCATTGCTGCTTGAGAATAATTGGAGCCCAAATACAACCTGCAACCCTTTTTTTGCCTTCAGGAAGAGGCAAACAGACCACTTTTGGTCTTAATGCCAGACAGGCACTAAGAATTCAACTTTCACAAAGCACACAATTAGTCAAATAAAGCATACAAATGCCCTAAGTATATTCTAGTATTAGTTTAATCCCTAACCCCATGTAAAAATACATTCCAGAACAACCTCTTTAAAGGGGATCTTCAAAGTTGAAGATAAAGATTATAAATAAAAAAGAAATCAACTCCCTGCAGACTCAATCAGGGCTGTCAATTCACAAGAGGTTCTTAGTCCTCCTTCATGATACATTTGATATATTTATAGCACAGCGTGGGCATATACTGATACATAGCTACATCATTAAAAGTTGTACGTGCAGGTTTCTATTCGTTTCCCCTTTTGCAGAGGAGTTGCCAGCAGAAGTCGGTTACTTCCCATAAAATTTCTTATTCAGAAGAAAGATCAGAAGATTGACGTTCACTTTTGCTCTGTCGAACAACTTCATGACAGCAACACCTTCATACTGCAGCTGCAAAAGATCCTGCCAAAGGGAATATCTTAATGAGTGAGGAATCCTCAAGAGCTTGTAGAGAATACAAAAGACCCTGTAGTACTGTAGGATCTTGAGGAGGATCTATCAAAAAGTACTAGGCATAAGATAGAAAAACAAGAGATTCATTAAAGATCTACTCTTAGTGGGTGAAAAATAAAGTCATTCTAAGGCATTTAAGATCTTCGTTTTTTTAAGTTGTGTTTGTTAAAAAAAAAATTATGAAAGACAGCAGAAATAGAAGACCATTCTAAGAAAGCCAAACTTCACATATAGCCATCTCCAGCCTTTTCATTTGCACAGTAGCCATAAAGTTGTAATATTTGGAAAGGGTTTTCCATGTGCCTAGTTGTATCATGTACCCATGAAACATCATGACATTCCACAGCATCACTTTCTAAAAGTTTTAGTCGTCAGACATCTCAGGGAGGTGGCTTAGAGCACTTCGGTCTAGGGCAGCAAAAGAAATGGCATCTCTGTCACTACGTATACAATGCTGATTCAATCTCTCGGGCGTTTATGTAGGCAGTATTTCCAGTTATGCTTTGCTTTGTCACCAATGCACCTGCACTGATTTATCCCAGCAATTAATTTCTTTCAGCAATCCCAATCTTGCAAGGAAACATGGTGGGTAGGATGCGGATATGTGTGTGATGTCAAATCTCTCATTGCTGTCCTCTCGGAACATCTAATTTATCTGCAAAGCAGTGCTACAAAAGCATAGTGGTATAGTAAACCATGTGGTAGGTAGGTAGGTAGGTAGTCCCATGAACCAAGAAGTTCACGACCAGCTCTGACAAATTAGGAACTGGAATGAACCAGGGGAATCCTCAAAGCACACAACAGGTGAGAGGCAGCTCTCTGTCCCAGCAGCCAGTTAGGTGACACGAACTAACTGCAATGCAAGGTGTTTCTGCACACAATCTGTTTCGAGACACCTAAGGCATCCACAATTAATAAACCTAATGACAACCCAGATGGGTAGGGGATGGGTGAAGATAGAAATGCAAGAAGGGGACAAAGACACCAGGCATAACATACTGGCATGAGAGAAAGAATGAGGAACCATTTGGGAAAAGGTCAGTTGGCATATCTGTTCTAGTAGCCTGGCCTAAGTAACGGTTGAGGACACCTAAGAACTGTAAAGTATCTGGTATGTGTAGGGTAGCCAGAAAGAATACCAATACATGATGACTGGCTGAAGCCATCACACCCAAGCCCAGCTGACCACTGCCACAGACTCCCAATCTTTCTGCTGTAGCAGGAAAAAGTTGAAAATGAAAGTGTTTGTTTTGTGTGTGTACATGTAAATGTAACTAAGAATACAGTCTGACATCAGGCTTTCATTAGTGAAAGAAACAAAAACCAGCTTGAGTCCCCCATATGTGCTGCATCTGTTTCGCCTGCAACAAATGGGTTATTCTTGGAAGCATCTTTCAGACTGCTCAGGTAGAAACATGTCATTGCTATTTTCATGAAGAGTCTGGCAAGGGGAACTTACATGCTAGTATTAAATAGGGCAGTTCTTACCTGATAATGTAACATAAAGGTTTCCATTTGTACCCCCATGAATTTTGCTTTTACCTCAAAATCTCCTACTTCTTCTGTCGGGCTTATTTCAAAGATCACATTTTTAAACCTATAAAATTTGAGAAATGAAAAATCACAGGGAGAGACTATATGAGATGAAATCTGAAGATAAATTTCTAACAATTCTACTCTTAACTCTTTATTCTATATTCCCATTTGGAATGAGACTGTAAAAGCCAACCAGACTCAATACAACAACGAATGGAAGCCTAACAGATTCTATGTCTGCTAGATCACAACTTCACACAAGCGTAGCAGGATTTAGTATTTAGCTTGCGTAGTCTAAACAGTCTACTTTAGTGCTGCATATATCCATGCCTCATTTAGTACACAGAGTACATTATAAAAAAATTGAAAATTTTTTCAATTTGGGTGGAAAAAATTCTAGTAACAGGCAGCTTCTCTATTTTCCATAGAAGATATACCAACTTCCAAAGGCTAGCAAAACACAGCTGGAGAAACTCAAGCTCGCATTTAAGCTGATTTTTGAACAGTGAAAGCTAGTAGCGATAGTAGCAATTCCCCTAAGAAGGTAACCTTCCATGACCATGGGGATGACTGAGAAGGGGTGGATGGGAAGAGGATGTCATGTTTAAATCCCATTATATTTCTCAATCAACGAACTGCTTTGCTTCAGACAGAAAAAGAAAACTGAAAAGTGATCATTATGCAAGGTTTCTTGGCCCTAGGGATGCCAGCCTAGATCATCAGAACAATTTCTTCAGCAACAATGCTAAAATTCCAACAACAAAACTGCAAGACAATCTGACACAATCTCAAACAGATCCCCAAATTTCTGT